GGAAGAACCTCAATCTGATTGGCACTATATAATAAACTCTCTAACTTCATCTCTCTCACAACGCTCCAACGACCTCCAAATTCAATACTTTCAATTTGTCTTCTTCACAACTCTCCCAAAAACCCTTCTCTTAAACCCTAATTACCTCCGCCTCCATGCCGCAGCTACCAATGTCCCCGACCTTCGAAGATGGTTTCCCGGCGGAAAAGCTCTTCTCTCAGGGATACTCTTACACTTACGACGACGTCATCTTCCTTCCTCACTACATCGATTTCTCCACAGACGCCGTTTCTTTATCCACGCGCTTTAGCCGGCACGTGCCTCTCTCCATACCTTGCGTTTCTTCTCCGATGGACACTGTGTCCGAGTGTCACATGGCTGCTTCAATGGCTTCTCTTGGTGGGATTGGAATCGTTCACTATAACTGTGATATCGCTGCTCAGGCATCGATTATTCGTCAAGCTAAGTCGCTTAAACATCCGATTGCTTCTGACGCCGGTGTGAAATTCCCCGAGTATGAGATTAGTTCGATTGATGCTTTTGGTCCTTCTTCATTCGTTTTTGTCACGCAAACAGGTGAGAATCAGATTCGTTTCCAGGAATCTATCACTGTTCCAAGGATTTGACAGGATTCGAAATTCTTATTTTCAGTACTTGGATTGGATTTTGAAGTGTGTGCGTTTTTGTTGATTGATTTGAGCAGGAACAATGACGAATCCGAAATTGTTAGGCTATGTTACGAAATCGCAGTGGACTAAAATGAATTTCGAACAAAGAGAGATGAAGATATACGATTACATGAAGAGCTGTGATGGTAGCGACTATACTGTACCATGGGACATTGATCTTGAAAAGATCGAAGCTGTTTTAGAAGATAAGCAAAAGGGCTTTGTGGTTCTTGAAAGAGATGGTGAGTCTGTGAACGTTGTGACAAAAGACGATATAGAGAGGGTTAAAGGATATCCCAAGTCAGGGCCAGGGACGGTTGGTCCAGACGGTGCGTGGATGGTTGGTGCGGCGATTGGGACCAGAGAATCTGATAAGGAGAGGCTGGAGCATTTGGTTGATGCTGGAGTCAATGCCGTGGTGTTGGATAGTTCGCAAGGGAACTCTATTTACCAGCTTGAGATGGTTAAGTATGTGAAGAGGACTTACCCTGAATTGGATGTGGTTGGTGGCAATGTTGTGACGATGTACCAGGCGCAGAATCTGATCCAAGCTGGAGTTGATGGGTTGAGAGTTGGTATGGGATCTGGTTCGATATGTACTACGCAAGAGGTTTGTGCGGTTGGTCGTGGACAGGTAAATGAAAAGATTTTATGAGTCCTAACTGTTTGATTCTTATAAAAGGTGTAAACTTTGTGAATTATATTAACATATTCGTTTGTTTGGTGTGATTTGGACCTCGTAGGCTACTGCTGTGTACAAGGTTTGTTCTATCGCTGCTCAGAGCGGGATTCCAGTTATAGCGGATGGTGGTATTTCAAATTCAGGTCACATTGTAAAAGCTCTAGTCCTCGGAGCATCAACTGTTATGATGGGAAGCTTCTTAGCCGGAAGCACTGAGGCTCCCGGAGCTTACGAGTATATGGTATTATCACATCTTCTTATGGTTTTAGATTACATTTTTCTTGAAAAGCTCCTTGTTTTGATCGTTTGTGGTAATGATAGAACGGTAAGAGGATCAAGAAGTACCGTGGAATGGGATCGCTAGAAGCAATGACTAAAGGAAGTGACCAAAGATACTTAGGAGACAAAACGAAACTCAAGATTGCTCAAGGTGTGGTTGGAGCAGTCGCGGATAAAGGCTCAGTGTTGAAGTTGATACCTTACACAATGCACGCGGTGAAGCAAGGTTTCCAAGACCTCGGTGCTTCTTCCTTGCAATCTGCTCATGAACTGTTGAGATCTAACACCCTTAGGCTCGAGGTAATTGTTTCAATGATCTAGCTCTCTGATTTTGTTGAGCTCTTAGTGTTAATGTATTTTTGTTTTTATTTGTTTTGATGTTGTGACAGGCTCGAACCGGTGCAGCACAGGTCGAAGGAGGTGTTCACGGGCTGGTTTCTTACGAAAAGAAATCATTTTAAGTTTTGCAACGGATTTGTTTGAGTTCTTCATATGTTAACTTTTTATTTTACTCCATTTTAGCTTTAATTTAATAAAATAATTTTTATTAATTCTCTGAAGCAAAAAGAAAAAACAAAACGAAAGTCTAATAAGTTCACATTTAGTTTACATGTCAGATTAACTTTGGATCAAGTTAATGACTCTTCCTGTAAGATCACAGGCTCGTAGATCACAGATTTAACAACACTCATCAAATCATGTTTAGTGAATCCATCGTCCTTCGCGTAAAACAAGTTCAACACTTTGCTCATTTTCAAGAACGCTTCTTTGCATTCCCTTGGAACCACACTTGCTTTCTCCTCAAATACTAGCCTCTGCAATTCTTCCCTCTTTCTCTCTGCTAAAACCTTTATTGATTCTATGATATCGTCTTTGCTGCGGTTTTCTTGCTCGTGTATCATATGCAATGAAACCGCGTTCAGCTTCCCTTCCGCACTTTCTCTCTGCCAACAACATGGATACATCAAAACCAAATCTACCATTACTGTTTGCTGTGAATTTTAAGAAGAGGCTTACCTTAAAGCCTTGTATGTCGTTTAGAAGACGACCCATAGTGCTTACAAGCTCGTAGAGCTGATTATATTCAGGCCTTTCAATAGTTTTCTCTGGAAGTAGCGGTCCTATCAGATAGGTAGCTGGGAGGATAATTGGTCCTAATGCAAATGAAACGTGCGCATTTTCCATGTAATCTTCCAAGCTTGGTGTTGACTTGTCACTAGACCACTCGGCTTCTCTCAACATAGACTTGAGCAAATCCAACCACTCCATAAAGATATGACACCAATTGACTATGGTCAGTTGAGTTGTTAGGAAATGATAACAGAGAATATAATTGTGTGGAATGATTGATATTTACAATTTTCACAATGTGGTGTGTCACGGTGCGTTGCTGATAGGCGAATGCTTTCTCTCCTGTTTCAAGAATTGTGTCCCTTAGAGCTAAGAATATGATCTCAACTTGTTCGGAGCAGTACTCAGGAACACCATTCAAATCCCACCTGCCATTTGTAAGTGAAGAACGATTATGCTTTTTACAAGGGAACAAGCAGAGAAAGACCTTTGAAGAAAGAGCCAAATCAATATACTTCTCGACCAAGTGTATGAGGTTTTCCAGTTCTTCTTTGGAGCCTCCAACATCAAAGAAGTCGTCCACGACCGTTGTAAGTACTCCACCTTTAGCCCACGATATACGAGCATCACATAGTTCTGGAGAAAAAAGAGTTGCAGCCCCAGAGAAGTAACAGTAAGCCAGCTTCTGTCTGGCAAATTTCAGTTCCTGCAATCTATTGTCCACAATCCACCTGCAAGTTGATGAGCAGAATTACAGACATATTAGATAATGAAAATAACAAATCATGACGAGAACTCATTCAAGTGTGTGGTTAACTGGTTATATTAGTAAAACTCATAAGCTCATACAAAAAGGCTGAATAACATGAAAAGTGCACCTATCAAGACACTCCATTTCTTTACGGTGTATGGACTGGCAGAAATTGAAGTCATCAACAGCTAACTTCAGGATATCAGAGCTGCAAACATTAGGCAAACTAGTACACGGAAGAAAGAAAAAAGAATGAGACCGAGTGTCTTGATTAGAGTATTGTTTAATGGAAGTTGAGTGTACCAAAAACATATGACCTACAAATAACACAAGCTACAAAGGAATGAAACAGCAGATTTTACCAATAAGAGGTTTTCATAACCCTAGTGTTTTCCACACATGTACCACTGAGTAGTTTTCTCCTATGATCTAATCTTTCCAGGCTTGCGTAGGAGGGAAAAGCAAGAGTATTTTCAACCTGAAAAAGATAAGGCTCTCAAATATTGAGTACACTATAGGGCTCTCACAGGAAGATAGTTAAGCAAAAGATGTTACCTCTTTCTTGAGGTATTTATCTCGAACAGAAGTGATCGGCCAGTCGGACAATTCCATCTCTAAATACTTTTTAGTCCACGAACACTGCCTTTTTAAAGCTGATTCATGTGGATAGCTTTGGGCAGCCTTAAATAATTCTAACACTGAAACTGTATCCTTTAGATATCCTTCCAGAGTATTGGAGAAACCAGATTCTTCTGCAAATGGTTTTAATGGATCTGCAACAACCACAGCGTATCAGCTCCAATACGCACATACAGTTGACTCAAATTTAATATCTTTTTTTTTTTTGAAAGAAAGAGGTCACTTTACCGTAAGACACATCATAGCCATGAGCAAGCAATAATCGGAAAGCCAAAGCACAAGTGGCCAACTCCAAACATATCTCTTCATCCCCACGCAACCAACATCTATTTGTTATGGTTTCCAAGAATCATGAACATATAATGCGGTTAAACTAGAAAAACCATCATAACAAGTTTTAATAGTGCTGAAGGCATTTACCTATAAGTCGCATCCAATACGTTTCTGATTTCATTCTTGAAATCCCTATCGATTCCCAAGCTTTCAAGATTGTCAATTATACTAAGGCGTGCATATTGATCAAACGGATAAACTGTGGGAACTGAAAAAGAGAAGTAAACATATTAGCAGTAAAACTCGTAAATATACAACAGAAATGATATTCACTATGATAATTAGGACCTGCAGCCTCGAATTTCTGAAGGAGAGAAGAGAGATAGCGGAGACATCCATCATTTCCAAACTGAGTAAGTGCAGCTGCTGTTGTAGCTGGAGAATCAAACAGTGAGCCATTTTCCCTTTGGTATTTGACGACTGAATCCCAATCTTTTAGCTTTCTTGTTCCCTCTAAAACATAGACCAGATATGCTTCTCTTCCCTTTGAGAAGCTGTCACTGTGACTGATCAAAAACAAAGATTATAGAAATGAAGAGTTCTGTAAAATACAAGCTTTCAGTTTTGTATGATTATGCTAATGAAAAAGCATGAAAATACCTTCTAAGATCCAAATCTCTTTTCTGTATCATCGCATCCACCACTTCCGATCCCAATGGAACCGTCAGATTCAAATCTCTAGCATATTCAATCATCCCAGGAAATATAATATCAAATCCTGCTGGTTTCTGTATTGTTTCATCAGTGACTGATGCAGAATTCAGCTCAATAAACTGGAGACCTGAATTTTTTTTGTTTTTCCCACATCATTTCACGAATTCTCCAAAAGTCAAAAATAGTAACAAAAGAGAGAGAAAGAAAAAAAACTGACCTTTGCTTATCTGTCTTTCACCAGTTCCCCATTTCTTCAACGCGAGAATACACGCCAGTGTAGATGATAACATATCCTTCTTATGAGATTGATGCCTATGATTATCAATCCCCCAAGATCCATCCTCGTGTTGATTTTCCAATAACCAGTTCACACATTGTGGGAAAAGTGGACCGTTTTGGGAACTCGGTGATGGAACCATCGCTACCCAACTCGTATCATAAGCCGAAACAAAAAGCTCCACTTTATCTAACATCTTCCTAATCTTTTCTTTCTTCTGCTCAAAGCTCTGGATAATTCAAGAATATCAGTTGGTCTATACCAAAATCATCATCTTAATTCAAGATTATTGTAGAACCAAAGCAACTATAAGATTGTTGTAGTTTACTACCACATTGTTAGCTCTTGTATGTTCTACTGCTTCCAATCTCTTTTCCAAAGTAGCTACACAACGAGTAAACATTTCCAATTGATTCACGTCGAATATTTGAAATCTTTGATGCAAATAGTAACAATCCCAACTAAGAAACTGTAATAGTCCAAATCCATCACTATGGAAGATTATAAGAGATTCAATTTCAATATAACCGAAGAAATCAAACATTCATATAAGCAAAAAATACCAAATCAAACAAATTCCATTGCGGAATAATTCGCACCAGAATGATAAAGTCGAGTACAAAATCAGAAAATCCAAGAACATGCAAGCGAAGAAATCAAACAATGCCGGAAAGTGAAGAGTAACACTAACCTGAGATCGGAGACGAGCAACGGGAAGGAATAGACATGGAGAAACCAGAACCAACGGAGAAAACGACGTCGTAGCAACCTGGTTTCCACACCGTGGCGATGTTGTTGCCATCATCATCAACAGTGAGAGAGTCAGTGACAGAGAGAAATTATCGATTGTGAAATCTAAAGAAAACATGTAAAAAGAAAATGAAGAGAGAAAATATACTTGCGAAGAATTTAGCCTTTGAGTTGACGATCGTATGACCCAAAAAGAAACTCGGGAAATCTGATT